CAGGCCATTTTTTGTGTTGGGACTCGCAGCCGACGGCTTCATCTGGTGCTCTTGGGTCCCTTTACCGAGTCCTCGCACAATCAGCTAATATTCTTTAGCGATCAATCAAGGGATGATGGCCCTCCCAACGTTCCAAAATGTACGTTTATTTGCTCCACAATCTCCTCTAAAAGAACCAGTCTGATAAGTGGTCCAGAGAATTGTCCGGGCCCATTTAGTGCCGGCATCCCCTCTCAGGAATCGCCCCTCCTACAAATAGTAAGTCCCACTAGTTTGGAAGTGACGTGTGTCCCTCTACTAACGTATGTAGCTTCGACATTGCTGGTGGAATTCCAGTAGTTGATATCTGTGGACCGGCCAATCTGTAGAGGTCTCTCCAACGGGATCCGCCGCGCCACTCATCTCCACAGAGTTAGTACCCCCTCAGATCTCCTCCCTCCAATGTATTCTGCTCTAACATGACCATATATATAGTGAAGCCCGACGTCCTCAACACAACTCCATGTGTGGTTGCGGAAGCCGAGAAGGGAGTGTGGTGGTTATCTTGCCGGCGGCGTCAAGAAAGGCGAAGCGAGTTGGTTTTGGGAAATTGCACATAGGGGGGCGTTCTCCGGGCGGAAGCAAAGAAATAACTATCGCTTGGTGTCTTTAGTTCCTCCTCGTGTTTTGTGACTTCTGTGGCATGTGTGGCGGTAATTGTGATTTGTGCTATGTGTGCTCTCTGTGCTCCAAATGCACATTTGCGTGTTGTAGTCTTTCCCAGTGTTTAAACACGCCCCCGGATTGTCGGCGTTTTTTAATTCGTGTGGAACTTGGTGGTTGTACTTCCAGTCTTGGCTGTCTTGAGATATCACTCGTTATGGGTTCCTGGCCACAGCCGGTATGAGAGCGCCGTTTCCAGCAAAGATACTTACTTATGTATTAAAATCGGTGCTGGGAGTAGTTCTTATATACACGGATGCGTGTAGCTATTAATACAGCTTCCATTAAACACCCCACCATCACCACATAGTGAGAACAGATCGCCGGAGACACCTTCGGGACTCGCGCAAGCCACATGAAACAGTAATGATGCCATGAATAACAGAGGATCAACCACGGAGTGTCTTTCCATAATGGGGGGGGGGGGGGGTGCGAGGTATTCTTTTGTGTGTGTCGTATTTCTTGTGGGTGTCCGTTTATCGACGCTGGAGTTCAAGTATCTCTTGGAGGCTTACTACTAGTAGTTATATAGTAGTTCTGCAGCTGCGATATTTTCGAGATTTACCGTACTACGTTGTCCTAAACTGTTCGATGTCGGGATGAAACTCGTCTACTAGCGCACACAAGTGTACGAGAGACATATATGCCCTACCGAATTCGGTCTATCAAGCTAAAATCTCCTTTTGCTATGTGCGCAAAAAAAAAAAAATACAAAAGAATATACAATTTCCCGATTGTACAAACCCACCCCTGGATTGAACGCTGCACCTTCTGTAATCGAAGGCAACATACAACCTCACGGTGTCGTTCGGGGCGAGTGTTAACCGCTAGCCACATCGCCATGTGTGTGTGGTCCTGGGCGGTAGTTGTGGCAGTTGGCTAACCGATTTAGGCGCGCTAGCATCTCGGGTCTTGGTCGGTGGACGTCCCTCCGAGTCTCATCCACGAAAGAATGCAGCACCACCGACACATTTCTCCTAACCAGGCTATACAGCTACCACGTTCTCTGTCTCCTTCATTCCTGAACTGAACAAAAAAGAAAGTTACAAGCCGATTACTCAACTAATCGTCAATCTATTTCCATTATACGCTACATGAGATTATGGTTAGAATCCTCTTCGTCGACGACGCGAATATGAACGGAGAACGCTCGAATAACAGGTAGATGTGTGACTATGCGCGGGATGGGATGAGAGAAGAAAATAGCTAGAGGTGGTCATAATATCGATGCTGTCCATCGTGCTTCGAAAAGTCAGCTCCAATTCTTCTCAGTCCGCATCAAGTATCGCATGACAAATGTTGCCACAGCGCAGATTCGGCGAATGATGATTGGAAGATTTATTACGTGCATCTGGTAAAAGCAAGATTGTCTCGGCGAAGCAGACTATCGATTTACGTTACGCTCATCTCGGCTCAAGTATCGCTACCTGTTCCCCGCGGCAAGAGGCCAGTACTTGTATGAGATTTTCGTGATTGAATACTATCCCAACCACTTCGATTTACGTCACCTACGGCATATCAAATACCATACCACAGGTCTCCTCGGCCCTACCTGGTTCATACACCGGTGGGAGTGCTTTCTCAAACCTTCCGGTCACCACAACCCCAATGGGACAAGAAATTTCTTCGATGGCGCATACACCCGTTGGCTATCAGAAGCCCCATGTTCCTTCGTGAGTCAATGGTAATACCTAAACCACCCACCGCCTAAATCATCAGTCGGCCATATGGTCAACTCAGCGGCTACCCCCCAATCCTGTTCACCGCTGAGTGGGAAAGAGCAATACTCCACCAGGGAAAAGTATTACGCTCAAGAGCATGAAATAGTAAAGAGATATTGAGGATTCCGGCACTTTTTGTTCAGATATCCGGAATAAACGGAAGGAGAATGAGATCTATATTATCGGTGCGCGCTACTTCCTGAACCTAATAGCCCCAAGATTCCCCTGAGGTTGAGCACACACCAGTATACCTAGTTATGCATCAACGATGATCAATACTTCCTCGATTTCCGGAGAAGGAAGAACGATACCATCAGAACACAAGGAGTTATTGAAACTGTTTCCCAATTTTTAACGTCGGGCTATAGTTGGTAAGAAGAATAAAATAAGATTATGGCGAAGAGGATGGAGAACCGGAGATAGGTTTCTGCTCAAACTGGTAATTGTATAGCGGCTATTAACGGATGGTCAGAGAACGGGGACTTGTACAAATACCAGAACGCGCTAGGGAAAAATAATGTTGCTCGTATTATAATGCTGATAACGAAAAATAACTGTAGGAAAAGATTCCACTCCGAGCAAGTTGGAATATTATCCAAAGCACCGGGGTATGAGAGCCCCAGCTAAATCAATAACTAATCAGCAACGATCACAAAACACGTTGATAAAGGTTCAGTAACAAAACATACCAGGCAAGCCCATCACTTCACTAGATGCTACGCTACATACTCGTCATATGCAGCAACACCAAGTCGAGAGCAAGAGACTCCGATCCCAGCCACGGGATCGCAAAGCTCAGAACCACCAACGTGCAAGAGATTCGGATATCTCCTGAATGCTAAATTTCGGTGATTAGCCATCACTTTACCGAATGGAAGGGATTGAAGGAACATACTACACAACTGCAAGACGACCCCCATTTACCAACTTCGTCCCGCGCCCGGAATATTGCCATCAGGAAAATCATCGGTGGAAAGAAGATGTGGAGAAAAAGAGGTAAATAGGAGAAAGAGTGTGAGTTAAAAAATTATAGAAGGTGGTGAGATACCAGGGCAAGAGCGATGATTGTGAGAAGGTTGATTGAGTCAAAGGCGCAAGCACCGAGGTGGAGGAGGTGTGTCGAGAGGCCGTAACACTGTGGGGTTACCGGGTGTGATGACTAAAGCGCCGGCGAAATATGCCCTTGGGGTCAAGGTGGCTTCTGGTGGCACGCGTTACTCTGCAAGGATTTGTACAAACGGCCAAGTGTTATGGTTGACTAGGCCCTCCAAAAGATTCGCGGAAAGAAGGGGGGATATTCCGAGACCTAGGAAAAAGAAAATTTAAGAACACGACGAGGGCTTCAATGGGCCGTGAGTTGAGACGGGCGGCCCGGGCTATTTCCTGACGGGCCGCGCCGGGCCATAGGTTTTGTTCAATGGGCCGGGCCAGGTGGAGGTCAATATTTGGCCCGGGCTAAATAGGTAAGCCCGGACCGTCGGGTTTCCATACAATCTTAGCTATTTGAAGGAGAGTTCGAGGACATCTCTACATTTCTTACCATTAACCTCAAAGAGAGCTGTAGCATATTCCTTATTCCAATCTGCAGCCAACAAACACAGTAAATTAAACAGCGATCGATGAGTTCCCATGGACGAACACCCAGTTCTTCCCCACGGACACCTCTGTTCATGGAGGCCCGGGCCATGTATTTGGACCAGACCTGGCCCGGGCTATCTAGTTTGGGCCAGGCCGTCATCTTGATAGCATGGGCTGGGTCAGGCCGACTCTGTTTTTCAACCCGGGCTGGCCCATTGAAGCCCTTGGAACACGATCTACGAACAAGCCAATAAGTGTAATTCATCGTCAAATATATATATTAACCAAGGCTAAATCATATAAAAATAGTCGTATGGTATCTTTGAACTCTGCCGCGTTAAGTGGGAATAAATTTAGTTCTCTTATTCTAAATCCGATAAATGTTGTATTATATGATTTAGTTGCACCGAATGTGAAGGCAATATCAGCAGTAAAGACCAGAATGGGGTGCTTAGGGACCCCCGAATGGTTCCTTTATGTCTACAGAACGACATTGAGCTTCAAATTCTCACACCCCCGGCTCAATATCTCACATGAAAATATTTGTAGTCTGTCTGCGAGGCTTCTGTCCTTTCAAGAGACATGAACAGAATCTTTCCCCATTCTTGATACTGTTTCTCAGCCGTGGTGCGTAGGAAGAAGAACTGCACATATAGTAAGAAGCATAACTTTGTAACAGCAAGAGATATCCGTATTTGCCATTAGATGAACAAGTATTGTCCTCAGTACATCAGTCATCTCCATGGCCCTTAGCTCAACGATTAAAGTGTCAAATTATGAAAACGAAAAAAAGAGCGTAATCCTCCACAACGACAAGGTCAGAGGGAAATATATCCCGTCTCCTCTTGAAGTAATGCGAGCGTGTCCAGTCATCCTATGTTTCCCACACTCCGGTGGTCCATCCATAAACTCCGAAAATATCATCCCTTCTCCGTTGCCTTCACAAAACTACTACCACGATTTACCCTTGTCTACCGAGATATCAGTCTCATATGAAGGTTATTCATAAACAGAAGGTTTAAACTTACGGGACTTCTTATCAACCTTCAGATTCTTAATAATCTTCTTTCCACGAGCCTTGGCACGTTCCCAGGTAGTGGGCTCAGGGGGGTAAGAAACCGGCAAGACGTGAATCTCAAGACCATAGAGATCGACAGTAGACGAGACATTGAGGCTATCGATAGTATCCCAGAACGCACCGATGGGGTCTTCCTGACATCCATTGCCGTAGACATGGATCAGCTTGCTACGATCAATGGATTGCGGGAGTACAGTGATTTGATAGAAGTTCCAGTAGCGGTTCAACATGATGGTGATCGGCGGGATGGATTGTTCTGATGAACGAAGTGGTGTCGATGATGGTGTATAGTGCTAAAAGAGATGTAGATGAAGGGAACGGTGAGCCTTTCCTGGATATTCAGTGAAGGTGGAGGTCTTGGTGTGCTGTGAGCAAGTAATGGAAAGGTCTAGCTGAAAGGAGGGAGATTTTGGTACTTCGAGGGTTAGGGTTTCAAAGTTGAGTACGTATGCCATATCAAAAACCGGTTGGTATGACTGAGGATTGGAAGGTGATTAATATCTGTTCCCCTGACCTTTAGTAAGGAGGTTGTAATTTCGGGGGAGTCCCACAGATCGGGTTGTAACGAGACGAAACAGAGTTTTGGCACGGTATTCTTCCCACCTCCAACTACATGTATACGTAGCTATCGTGAAGTACAAAAAATTGATAAGGGGAAATTAAATAACGAAACACACCAAAAAAAGTAGCCCGAATTAAAAACGTGGTGGTACGATTGCAGTGATAGAGAACTCAACTGGGTGATACTGACCCTACTACCGGTATGACACTGTGGCCTCGCAGTAGCTTTCGGGGAGACCGAATGCCGATTCATTCCCCTCCCCGACATTGCATGAGGTGCAAAAAGCTTCACGTGCCATAGACGGAAAAGAGATACTATGGTGCCGGTTGGTCTGTGCCAGCTAACTGATATAGTTCTCCCACCCCGACTCACTTGGAGCCCTGCGTTGGCTTAATTGTTCAATATGCACTCTACACCCATATTACACTCCGTATTTTCCAGTCCTTCTGCCCAAATGTTCTCCAGTATTGATCGTTTCTATAGTTAAGCAATCGAGGAAACCTTGTCACTGACTCTTACAGTAGCGGAAAGGTTTGGGAGACAAAAGCGTAACATGATCGGTGTGTGAGATAGCAATGCAGCGTCTTCCATCGCCTATAGGAAGTCCCCCACCCATGAGAAATGGGGGGATACGGGTGAAAGGGTATTTCGGACCACCGATTCCTATCATTAGGGGGAGAGTATCACTATATGAAGTATCACTATAGCGAGAGATGACTATGCCCCTCCCCTCACCTAATGATGTTACGTCTAAGTGTGCGTTTAAAATGTTCCCCAGAACGCAGTCTCTCAGCTTCGGTTAGCATAGTGGTATATGCCTCCGGTTTAGGAAACTTATGACGACAGCGGATACCGGGTTCGAATCCTGCTTAGTAATTCCACGATCAAACTGAACACCCATTATTTTTTTTCTTTTACCCCAGCTAGACCCTTGAAACGAGAGGTTCTCTAATCTAACCATCGGCGCCCACTACTTCACCGCCCAAACTAGGTTTTTTATAAGACGAAGTTTTAAACTGCATCAGTGTCGAGACGGGTAACTCTATAAGCCTATTTAGTGGCTCATGGAAGCGTAGTGTTTGCCTTGTTCAAGATTAAGCTCTTATTGCGTTTTCAGTTCCTCACAAACCTCTCATTTTTTGCGCGTTATTATAATCGTACGTAGTTTGGAATATCCCAGGATTAGATTCGTTCCTTGAACGAACGAGCAACAAGAATCATATGGAGGGAGGGAAAAGTATGACCCCACCTCCTCGAAGGAGTGGTTCCGAACGGTGGATCTCTGGCTGTGATAGAAACCCCATATCCTACCTGTTAAAACCTCGAATAGAACCTCAATAACCGATATTTATTCCCACCAAATTTGTTCGGGGTTAGGGTTACCGAACTGACACCGAGTTTCCTCAGCTAATGTCCTAGCATTTTGACGATCCAAATTGACATGAGGTTTCTTTTTCCTCGCTGGCTAGGAGAGTGGACGAGAGTGATTGTTGCGGCAGCGGGCATCATCGTCATTCGCGGCACGTAGCATGAATTGAAAGCTTAGCCCTTAGATTAAAATGGCTGTCAACCTGGCTTTAGTATAATAAGAGACTTTTGAGAATAATAGGAATATATATAAATCTTATTAGCGTCTGATCCCCTAATTAAGTATATCCCACTTGTGCTCTCTAGTAGGTTGACATTGGAGAAGTACACGTATGAAGGATAAAGGTGTTGACAATTTATATTGTGGAGTGATAGCATATTAATATATTAAACCGACATGATTTTGACAAATGTGGACTCTGGACCCATAAGTAATACTCGGAAATGCCCATCATCCTTTAAATCTCTTTCCAAGCTTGACTTTTACCTTCATCTATTGAACCACTAACCCGATTTAGCATTGACTTACATCTATTAGGAGTACACCTTACCTTTCGCTTTTCAATATAACAGCTATTAAACAGGTAAAGTCACGTGCACCAATTCCAAAGTGCAATCTTGTCCATCTCGGTTAAAGAATCCAAAGACCCCTCAGCTCCTCAAGCTTGTGCTCAATCTTCTTCTGGACATCTTCGATCTTGTCCATGATCTCGCCAATACGTTCTTTTAATCTGAACATTTCGAAGCGCTGATGCTGGTCGAATGCTTTCATCATCTTGGGACTGAACTGCTGCGCAATTTGGCGATCCTCGTCAAGAGTCCTGATGTGTTCGGCATAGCGCGCGCCGTAGATGTCGAGCTTGCTTTGGAGGAATCTCTGGCGGACAAAGAGGGGAGTGAGAGATTCCATCGTATTTCGATCTAGGTTGTCCCTTTTTTTTTGTTTAAAGGACAGTGTACTTGCTTTCTAAAAACACTAGATGGGGGTAAAATTCCGTGATTATTGGGTTTATTTTATAATGAATGTGGTTGTGTGATGGAACACTTCGTCATGAATGATGGTGATGGTCGTAAGGGATTGGAAACGTTATGGTTCTGGTGTTGATTCGCGAACTATCCGTAGCTGCGGAAACGCCAAGAATGTCTTGGCACGGTAGATAAGACGAACCGACCTAAGACGTTCCCCTACGGGACAAGACCTAATGCTTTATCGACAACAGACGGTATGGTACTAAGAGCGTTAAGTTGCAACCCTATGGTGTTTAATTTAAACACATATGATAATTACTGATGGCTACATATATATACACGCTATGCATTGTAACTGTGAGTTTCCATAAAGTCAGTCGCGAATGGAGAAATCGATTGAACTGGCTGTTTTGTCGAAGTGGCGTAATAGAAAAGAATGTCTGGTGGTACACTATAGAATGGACAATGCTAGCAGATATAAGTGACATAACATTCCCTACGTGGGTCCGGAGCTAGCTCTGGCCTCGCGAGACCACCGCGCCTGCGCGCGGTAATGCTGTCTGCATATCCTCTACCACTTGTAAACTAAACGTGACAAGAAACCGAGGCGAAATTCGGAAATCTCCCATTTCATTAAAGGTGTAGTAGTTATTCGGAAGAGAACAGTGCATGCTCGCAAGGAAGCTGAGGATGCGCATCATAGGTTGTCACTCGGTCGGGTGAGTTCTTTTAGAGTACCTTCAACGGCGCGCGATAGTGGTTTTGTATGCGCATGGTGATCGCTATTGATATACATTATCGAGAAGTCAGATGTTCATCAGGTTTAATAAAATCTATAAAGAAAAATTGGACTTGAACTTTAGTCCAACCGGGACGTTCCACGGAACAGAGCCGCTGGATCCCTAGACTGGTGAAATGAATGCGACGGGTGGCAATAAGATGATATATGTATCAGATTGTTATCAGAATTAGGAAACGAAGAGTATACGCATTTGCATTTCCTGTTAGTTAGGACTGTGTTCGTTTATCGGCCGGTGAAGAGATTCGCTGGCAGTAACTGAAGAATCTAAGAAATTAAATAAGTTTTCATATAATGGGGGAAGATAAATCTTGCATAAGACAATTCGTCAGTATGTTATACTACCTCGAACAAGTATGATTCGTAAGAAGTGTATTCGATACCCCTCTTTCTCTCACCTCTGCTTGGCACCCAAGCTTGTCTACTGCAAGCATTACCACCCTTCTTCTCTTAAACCGTTGATTCTCATACATCGTAACCGGACCCCTCAGTCTCTCCGCAACATGAGCATGATACAGAAACCCTGAGTTTCTCTGCAATACCTCAATCAGAGACCTTCATCGAGGAAGGTTTTTGATATGGCACCTTCGGTCCCCCAACCGCGGGTGATAGCTAACTAAACCAAGGCTTCACTGTGGTAAGGCTCCCACTCGAGTTCAATTCTAGGGATTATCTATTGTACTAACTTCCATCCATCCATAGGTCATGAAGATAAAAAGGAACACCGCGCCTCCTTATTCGCTGGTGTCTTGCCTTATAGCAACATAGTAGGGCCGGGAACCGCGTCCACTAAACCCAAAATGTTCGGCATGAAGTTGGGGTATGTGTTTCCCCATCCACTCAGAAGTCTTTTCACCTACTCTGATTCAGCCTAAGCTAATGAACTATCAGGGCACGACTTAATTTGGGAACGTCAATACGCTCGGCTGCTCTCATCCCAAGCCTGCCGAGCTCAGCTCTCCCTTCCATCTCTGCATCTGTGAGGCTTACCCTGGGTGGCCTCCAAATTTGCAAAAACACAGCACAGTGGTCGTGCAAGAAGGAGATGGAAGAGCATTGGCGTCTCTCCCTCACCTACCCTACACCTCTGTGTGTCTGCTGGCTGGGAGGTTTCTTCCCTCAAATACCGACGTCGTCTCGGCCTGGCCAATCACCTGCACGGTCTCCTTTAACCCCGGGACATGGAGGTGCAGGAGATGAAGCAGCAGGATCATGCCGCCTGGGGAAGGATAACCCTCATGAAGGGTTCTGAGCCTCTGTGTTTCTAATTAGGAGTAGTTGGATAAACCAGAGATTCCCATGGGATCGACGAGGCATCGGTGGATCTTGCCTGGCCTGTCTGATGATGTGGCCGGGGTAGGAAGGTATGTTCCTTTGCTCCTACAAATTACAACTGCCTTTATTGATTTCATCGTATTCGTAGGGACCCGAAGAATGGAACGAGGCTATCAGACTGGCTCGCCCCCCCGATATATACCGAAGGCTTTGCTCCGCAGTTCTGGTAAGCCGGAGTAGTTGGGTACACCAGGGATCCCAAAGGGATCTGCAAAGGATTGGTGGCGCTCCGAGTCGGTCCGGGGTGGGTGGGCATGTATGTTGCTTCCTTTTTTGAAGCCGCATATACTTTCACCATTTTTACTATTGTGTATAGCGAGTTGTGGAACGGGGAGCCATTGATTTGCTCTTCCTTTACAGTTGCACCTGATCGTCAGGGCTCTCCGTCAGGAGTAGTTGGGTGAACCAGCGACCACCACTGACGTTGACCAAACTGGGTGTCGTGCCGGGTCGGACGCCCGGTTGAGTGCAGAGGGACCGGAGAAATGGTATGTCTCTCTTGGAATCGATACATATGTATAGCAAGCAGTTTACTAATTTATTTCAATGAGTAGGATTTGGAAGAGATAGCGGCTCTGGGCATCGAGTCAAGAAGTACCTTGCCCTCGCCGCCCTGGCCCGTGAATACCAGGATGAAGATACCTTGAACCCAGTTCTCTCCCATCACCATCCTCCTTCCCGAAACCAGGAGATACTTCGCGTCCTAGAAACATTTCAACAATGTTTGGGCCTGTAATATGTAACGATATCCTTGAAATCCACTATTATACACTCGTTGAACTATACGCTAATTCTATAATTAGGATATATCAATGAGAAAGATACATATGCACACACTATACTTCTCTGAAGGTCCCATGCCCTTTTCCTCTCGCACCGGGTCAGGGAGACCATCGCGTCTCATCCTTCGGGGGTGCCTCTCGGGTTTTCTAGGCTTGTGTGGGATGGGCGGCCGTCAACAATCACTGAATGGCGTAGCGCTGGTGTGGGTGCTGATTGATATAGAGATAATGCAACGTCTTGTTTTCTTGTTCCCTTGTATCTTCCTAGCTTTGCCAATGTGAAATGTGTCATCAAATCGATGTGTTTCGAAGGATAGTGATTTTTAAACCATCTTAAACGTGTCAACAACGCCCCTGGATGACAATTCTTCTACAGTAGTCCCAACTCTCCGCTCCATGATAAATATCTCTCTAAATAGAAAAAAGAAAAAAGCCCCTAATCCGTGTACTACGAGTGATATTCCACGACCCACTCCCGAACCTTGATAATAGGTAGCGTGCGGTTCTTTATTTATGACACCTATCCAATGGTTTTTTTTGACTTTGACGATAGTTTAAATGACACCTTTATACAAATCAACGCCAATGGATACATGATATGACATTTTCCTCTGAAAAGTGAAGCTCATGAGTATGTAGAGATCTTCTTTGTAACACACTTGAAGTAAAACCTTGACAAAGATCTCGTCCCCTCTCCTACTTAGGACTCCCTGTCATCAGACCATACTCCCTTAAGATCTGCAGATAGCACTCCCTACACTTCTGTGTCTCCGCCTCCAGCTGCCCCTCCAGCAACTGCATCTCACACCTACAATCCATCATCTCCTCCGCAAACTTACCAATATCCTCCGCCATCTGTCTGGCAGTATCGGCCAACAGAACCCTGAGGTCTCTCCATCGCATCGCTGCCCAGAAAATCTCAGGGTGCTTTTCCATGATCTCTGACTCCACCTTTTTAGAATTTTTTTCCACATTCATCTCGTGGATGAATCTCAGCTGCGTATAGCAGAGGTTGCTGTACCGTGCATTTACATCCATGCGCCGCTGGACACGGTTGATCCCCCACCGGATGCCGTGGATCTCGAGAGTAGTCATCTCGTCGAGGGCAGGGACGGTCAAGGCGTCATCGATTATGGGCTCCAGATCGTAGCGTTGGCGGAGGGAGAGAGCGGCTTCGGGGGTGCCAATTAGTCCTCGGCAGGTGGCAAGGTTGCAGATCATGTCGCGGGAGTGCGGGCGGGGCATGGCTCTGTACTGAGTTTGAGTGTCAGTTGGTGGTTTGGGAGACGGAGTGATGGTGAGTTGTACTTTTGGAGTTCAGGAAAAACCTGGGTTTTCTGTTGGGAAGGATTGTCGAGTGTATTAGTTGTCCAATTGAATGACAATTGTGCTAAAAACGCTATCCGATGTGTGGGTGCGGTGGCTTTGAATGTGAGCGATAATCGATGAACATCGATGTCGGTTTGGCTAAGCTCAAAATGTATATCCGCCCAAGACCCCAAATTAATTCAAATCGCCGATGTACATCAACATATGTGATGAAGATATTTATTTGATTTTTATGATAACAGTAAAGATTTATACATTTTTGTGTGAAAAGCTTCACCTGATCAAAATCAACGAGGGAGTGAGTTTCTGGTTGCAGAAAAAAAGCCACCTCCGACACCCCGAAAAGAGACGCATAGTGTGTTAAGCGGCGCTATATATTTCATTGGTATTGATAAAAACAGGAGGCCTTCATTAAAATCCACTGGAAATGGCGTCAAATATCTAGCCCAACCTTCCTTTCCTCAGTCCGAGCCAGTTAGGTCTGTATGCCGTGCGCGTCTCGAACAGGCCCGTCCCAACACAAATCCCCACGCGACAGCTGTGTAAGGAACAGAGAGAAATATTGAAATAAAGCAATCAAGGAGATTTTATTAAAATCGTTTAGAAAAGCTCAACATTAGAAAAGCGCAACATAAAATAACACTTGTGTCAGAAACATATTTTCACCTATAATGACCCCCAACATCAGAGGATCGTATCATCCACTATAACCGTCAAACATGATCTGGTGTTCTGTCATGATTCAATGAGGTGATTCCTTGCTGCACTCATTGATTGTATATCAGTTGATGAAAGAATAAATTATTTTTATAATGCACAATCATTACTTACGAATATCCAAGCGGCGAACTCCACGGGGTGAAGGTAAATGGCTCCATTGTACTATTAAGCGGACGACCATGATCATCTTCATCGATCAACCAGAACCGAGAGGTCTGTAAGCAGCAGAAATCGTCCTCGGTCACCTCATCCTCTTTATCACCCTCGCCATCTTCTGAATGCTCCTGCTCAGCGTCGTAGAACCAATAATCGTAGGTCCAGTGATCGCCGTGAGCCATACGATTGACCTCCGGAGCATTATCGTTGTTGCCTGTGCTGCAGATATGTAGAGGCGAAGGACCACGAAGGGACTCAATGTGCAGTGGCACACTCCGCTCGCGGTTGTTCAATGGTGGTGGTGGGGCCCGGGAGTAGATTGGGTTGCCCCATGGGATATGGATGCTGCTTGCGTATCTCCAGATGAGGCGCGGGGTAGCTATGTGTGATAATAGGTTAGCAAAGGCAACACTAAAAGAGACGATACGATAGGGAAGTGAGATAAATTGTATTCAATAGGGGGATAGTTATTTACACACCTCCGAACAGAACCCTCTCGAGGGGTCCGCTCTCCGGGTGCCGGAGGTGCAGAAATTGGATATCCTTCCCTTCGAGTGGGAGAAAGAAACCCTTCCGACTCTCGGATAATGTATCACTCGCAGTGGTCGTTCCACTCACTACTTCGTCGCCGGCGATGGCGACCGTGGTTGCATCTTGTTGAGCTCTTGATTTTTCAGAGTCTGTAACTCGGGCCCGCTATATTATAATACATGCACCGTTAGTATCTATCTGGAAATATCATAATACAGGAGTGGCAATTTACCTTGTGTGGCTTTTGCATCATTTGAGGCAGATAATTATTTTCTTCCTCGAAAGGGCGTTTGTGGTTTCGCTGCTGTATCTTTATCAGCCCATCTCTCGGCATTAGAAGACAATCTTATTATTTTAACAAGTTATTTGAAAGAACTAAAACACTGAAATTCCGTATATGCGTTTTAAACTCTCACCGAATTTCTGGACTTACCATTGTGGGACAACCGGGCATTGAATGGAGAGAGTCCTCCTGACCACTTAAGTCCATGTCTACCGATGGAGGAATATTCGGAGTATTAAAGAGCTTTATATAAATACTTGTTGAGGTTCGACACTGGTGCTGGCTGAGTGAAAATTGAGAGTGATTATTTCAGCTGCACGGGACGTTCCACACCGACCAAGACTTGAGGTTGTGACTGGATAGAGCGAACAATCTAGATAAGGTAATAGAATAACGGTAAAGTACCCCCACATGTCCTTTTTGAATGCATGTCGACAAGTTGTCGTTGCTGAAATCTGTTCCGATCCCGAAGAGGAATGGTGGACCTCGGTATTTCGCCGCATTTTCTCTCGGTGATGTATCAGGGGGCACTGCCGTTTCGGTTTTTAGTCCGTTAACATATATATATCAACGAGTAATTAACGATAAAAGTCCGGTATCATTTGAGTATTGATATCTCACAGATGTTATGCTTTATGTCCTTTTGTTCTCCATACTGATGAAAATGCAAAGAAGGACAAATGAACGGTGGGCTCAGTGGGGCCAAGCCGCTAACCACATTGTTTACCCGCCGTCAAGCCCGTGGCTCCTAATATCATTACCAGTGACTCTGCTCTACCGGACGAAAGATGGGACCTTTCAATTTTCATACAGGTGGTAGAGAACGGGATAACTGTTTTAAAGCTGGTATAAAATACACGTAGCCCCTCAACCGTCAAGAGACGGACTCGGATACACCTGTTTAGTATGAGCTGTGCGTGTAAGAGGAGAGAGGATGGTGACATCGCGCCAGTCGGTAGGATTATCGAGTAGTTGAACAATTATGGCTTAGGAAGTAACCTTCAAAGCTGCCCAGGGGGCAGTCAGTGTTTATCATCCTCTGGGAGCACCGGGGGCCTCTGTTGTCACCCCCGGGAGTGCTAGTAATGCACTGAGACCTGCATAAATATATGTAGATACTTGGCCTCAGGAAATACGTCTAAAGTACACAAAGACATCATAGCTGGAAGAGAATATCTGTCATTTCAGTACCACTTCCAAGTTATATAAGGACCGGTATTGTCTGTAATTACCCCCTCAACCCAAATGAACCGCGGTCCTGGGTGAGCTTCAGTCAGTCCCTTTTTGTTTGTAGCGGTGGGTAGGTCACTTTGGAGAGTTTATTTTGGGAGTTCAGGGAGATTTTCAGCAGGTCATTCAGGTTATCAGTCTCTTCCTCACAATCATCGAAAAATAACGTGTGTTACTATTCATGTAGTCGTGACATACCAACGACTCTGGAACTGGAAAGCGAAATTGTGAGAGAAAAGTGGAAATATTTCCTGCGCAGCTTAGGTGACTTAGGTGATCTGTATTGCTGTTTGAATGCAATGTGAATCGGTCCGATCCCAACTCTGCGAAACCATGATGTCATTTGTAGCATACATATATAGCTCAACGTACCCTAAGTAAAAGTCTCCATGCAACATGCTAATGTATCTGAAAGGAACAAAAAACGAAGAATAAAAAGATATCAACGAAAGCCTAGATTGAAAGATGTACTCACTGCGAGAGAAAGGAAAGTACTGCGTAACTCATATACGTCAACAAAGCACCAGCAGAATCAAAGTCCACAAACAACCGACAGGTGCACCAACACATTGCACCACCTTTTGTCGTCAAAGAAAGTAAGAAATGAAGAAAGATGAAACCAAAGAAAACCCTTTGATCATTGGTGTAGGCTTCAGACGCCCCGACATTGCAACACAACAACATATCAGCCCTCAGAGAAATGAAGGTAGAAGAGCGAGATCAGAAAGAAATGTTAAAACAGGGCTCCTCATGGCATCCACCGAAATTAACACCACACAGTGTCGGTTTCAAATCCCCTCTACCTCACCATCCATCATCGTTGAAACGCCAGTCACTCCCATCATCAAGGACACCTGTTCATAATTAGTCATCGGCCACACAAAAAAGGCTCGCAGATTAATCCTCCGCACCACTATCCTTCATCTCTACCCTAATGTTCTCCTGATGCGCAATCCTCTTCTCCAACTCCGCCAATCTCCCCTTCTTACTCTTATCCCTCTTCCCATGCTCCGTCTCATTAAAGTAACGGACCACATACGGATCAAACGTCTCACTCAGCTTCGCCCAGCCGAGGTTAATCCTACAGCACAGGTCATACTCGCCACAATGGTCCTTCCCGCGGGCAACACGCTTCTTATACAGCGCCTTGAGCGTCATCATGACCTCATACAGGTTCTTGTACTCCTGGTTGTGCTTGTACATTGCCGCCTGCCACTTTTGCAAGTTGGCGTCGACGAAGCGGGTCAGGTCGGGGTCGGAGAGGATCTCGTACTCGCAGCGCTGGAAGGCGTGCAGGAGCTTCTGCGCCTCCGAGGGGCACCAGACGAGGGGGAGGGTGATGTTGTTGAGGAGCTCGGCGGCGGCTTGGGCGGCTTTGGTGAGCTTGACCTCGGTGGTGCGGAAGAACTTGGTGCGTTTTGGGAAAGCTTTGCGGGTGAAGGGTATGATAAGGTGGGGCATTTTGAAGGATGATGGATAAGGATCTTTGAGAGATGTTTCTAGAGATGAGTGGATGATGAAACGATGATTATCGAGATGGAGGGAATGAGTGACGGATGACGTTCGGGCCAGGGAATGGTTGTGGGAAGAAGGAGAATGCGGCTCGTTTTCGCAATGACTTTGTGGGATGGATTGATGTTGCATAGAGTGGACTGATGGTGTTAGCTTCGATTATGAGCAGTGGCTGCAGCGACCGGTTTATGTAGAGCGGGAGGGGGCTGTTTCTGTGCTCTGCGGCAAATAAATTCAGGTTTTAGACTCAAAGCTTGATTTGTGGGTAGGAATGAAATGTCGATGGCGGTTGAGAGTAAGTAGATATATGGATTAACTAATTCGATGAAAAAGTCGAATAGAATTTGCTATAGAATTGATGATGGCCCAGTAAAGAGAGGCCCCGCGTGACGATCTAACGCTATTGATGAAGTGAAATGGGTGTACTCGTGATCACCGGTCTGATCAAAAAAGATTTCTTAATGCGGCGTACTTGAACACTGAATACATGGACTAAACAAAAAAAAAGATTACGCCAATAAAGAACTGGACCCCGACAATGCGAGTGATAGATGGTGATTCCCATTTCCCAGCACATGTGCGTGGCCGGAGAGTGAAACTTGATTTTGACTTCCGAGAATGATGAGCACTGTTGTTTCTGGGATTAATAAGGTGGCATTTATGGAAACAAAGTTGCTGTAGATCTGGCATATTTAGCGGGACGCCACCTGTTCTCAACCATTCCCACAGACGGCGGCATTCCCCAGGTGGTGTATTTATGGAGAATGGACTGAATAGAATCTTGTGCCATGAACGAATGCAGTTGAGCGGAGGAGTGATTTGAAATCTTGTTTTCTGAATGACGGGTAGCTCTCGCCATTTGCATCTGCTATCCCAGTGCCCATCCTGACCGCCGCAATCGGTTCCGAAATATCTACTTGTCAACCAACCAGGCAGGTCACCTACCTACTGATCCGATGACGCCTATTACAGATCAAAGTTTGAAGATTGTGGTTGCGTCGCGAGAAAGCTTGGAATAGCAAAGAATAAATAATGTGGCTTAGGGTCGAGGCTCTCCTGTTTCGCTTGTTGTTAGCAACCTCACACAACAACAACAACCACAACGTTCAACCTCAGCACAACACAACTATCTACATCTCTCATCCACAACCTGACGAATCATCATCGCTATTCTTCATCCCAACCTCTGATTTAAAGATCACTATGGCTCCCATCCGCCCCCCTAGACATGGGAGGAAAAAGCAGATGGAGCCAATGGCCATCGGCCTGCCGACAACCGGAGATTCAACTCCAATCACATCCTTCTTTCCGCCAGAGCCAGAGCCAAAGGTGCTTGACCCACCAAAGCTCGATCTGCCAGCGGTCAACCTGCCAAAGATTGACCTACCAAAGGCCGCTCCGACAACGCCTGATCCGCCAAGGTCTAATCCACTTAAAACTGAACTGCTAAAGGCTGATTCAGCAAGGCCTGATACCCTCAAAACAGAACCGCTGAACCTCAATCCAGGAAAGATGGAAGCGCCAAAGGTCATCCCGCCAAAGGCAGCTATTCTGGCAGCGAAATATCCACCACAGTCTGGTAGTCCGCACAGCCATTATCACACAACCACTAGCAGGCCTCTGGCGGATCCAGCAAACACAGGTCCCCCAAAGGGCGATCCAGCAAAGACGGATCCCGCGCAGGTTGCTGCCCATAGCCTTTACCAGTCAACGGTCAGTGCACCAATACCTGATCCACCTAAGTCTGATCCAGAAATCGACAACTCCATAGCAGACCGACCCATTACAGAGGAAGATTCTGTTGCCTTTCGCAAGGGCTTCACATTCCGCGGGCCCGACATGATTGCGCTGGACAGGACTGGGCATAACCCGCTAAAGATCGAGTTCTGGCTCGGGACCCCAGACGGCCACTTCATGAATATGGATCTGAGGCCTAGCCAGACACCTGGATACACCATGAACGATGTCGACCTCACCTTCCGTATGTATAACAGACAAACATCGGCGAGCGGGGAGACCATACTCAATGACAGGATATTTCACACTGAGCCTGATACTGTCTACTGTCTGCATGCGGAGCGTGGGGTGACTTATAACTTTGATAATATCCCGGACCCAACTGAGAGTTCGTCCTGCGGAATGCCCGTGGGGACGAGCCTGCGCATGATGAAGGACCGATTGGCCTTCCCAAGGATGGACACACCGATCTATCACACGTCCACCCCGCTGGACTCCAGCAGTGCCAGGAAATGTCGTGACTATATCACGCCTCTCCAGTGCGACCCACGAGGAACCCGCTGCACCTACCCCACAAAAGAAACACCGGCGGCTACGGCGGACAGCTCCGTCACCGACGACAAAGACTGGGCGACCCGCTCCTCTCCCATCCAATACACGCCCTCCACCTCCAGCAATGCCTCCACCACATCCTCCTCCACTTCCTCGCCCGCCGGGTACATCCCCGCCCGCCTGCTCCACCACCCCGCGCTTCCCAGCGGTCCCTACGACCTCACATCCCTCCTCGCCACCCACAAAGGACCGCGCATCTTCAAGCGCTGCGGCTGCGGCGACCTCGTCCTCGCTAGCGCCGACCACTGCAACATCGAGTCCGGCACAAACCGGCTAATGGCGGCCGTCGGCCTCGACCTGCAAGACGACTACCGCGTCGCCAAGCGCATCGCGATGGACTTCTTCGTCGGCCACGACGAGGGCACGCCCATCCAGATCGACGAGTCGTGGTATCAGCTTGACGCGCGCGATTATGTAGTCGGCAGAGACGCGTACGCGGATGTGATGAGACGGCATGCGGAGGGGCGGCATGTAGAGGAGATGGAGGAGCGGGTGTTGAGGGCGACGAGGATGGAGCTGGCGAAGGTGGGGAGTGTGAGGGAGGGGAAGGGGAGGGGGTTGAATGAGGTTTTGCTGGGGGCTATGGATTTTCCGAGGCTGGATGAGGGGGACGTTGGGGGAGGGGAGGAAGGGGCGCAGGGGCCTGAGCTAGATGCAGTGAAGTGGGGGCTGGGTTTGGGGAGCTGGTAGTAGTTTGAGGCGGGGGACGGGGCGGGGCCATTTTTTATGGCACGTTTGATCGTGATGATGAGGTTATGCGGGAGGGGTGGAGGGGGCATCCGGCGCTTTGAGGTGGCATCAGTGTGTGGTCAATGCTAGGGGTGTTAAGGGATGTGAGGTGTTGAATGCGCGGTGGGTTTTCGCGAGTTCTGTTCTTTGTCTCTTTGAGCTATTGGTCTCTTGAAATAATGAGGGGCTGTTATAGTTGTTATTCGTAGCTCTTCAAGTCTTTCAACAAATATCCAATATGTTCATAGCGAATCAAATCATTACATCTTCAATTTCTCCTTGTTGTCCAGAGCTCAAACTATCTTTTAGTTTCTGGTAGATATATTCCAGTATAAAGCGTAACAAATATCATTCCATACCCCACCTACTACTGCTCTCAGATCTTCCCCCCTAAAATGTTCTGTCTACATATATATATTCGTTTTCTAACATATCCTTGAGAAATACATGTGTTATTGACACTGCCGTTGTTAGTTCGGGGCCCTGGTTCGTGGTTTAATATTCCCATGTTCTTTTCTCCAAGAACTTCATTTGCCTAATTCTCTCATTTTGTAACAGTCTGACTTTGGGAGTTCGTTATTTCCTTTACTGCGCTTCAATAGATTTAGTCTCCCTCCTACGTACAATCTTATGAGTTCATGTTACAGATTCGGGGCGCAGAAGCCAGAAGGTGGGGAAGAGTGGCAAATCTAATTCACGCGCTTGAAATGGCTTTCCACTCGCGCGCGCAATACTGTCACTGACCCCACAGCCAAGCCGCCGGGGGTGTTGCGGGGGTCGGTGGTTAGTGGTGGATATTGCGTGACGGCGTGATCTGGTGGTGTTGTTTTTAGTTCGAAAGGCTCTAGTGGCCATACACGAGACTAAGTGACGTGTCCAGACACCACTATCTATTTTAGAAGGCGAGATATCGATTCTTGGCTGTGAGCCTAGTCATGATATATCACTCGATATCACTACGAGTGATACGGCATGAACGAGTGAGTTTCCATGACGGAGTGATGGCATATGAACGAGTGATTGGTTGTGACTACGCTGATATTCGGTTAACGTAGATTATTCTGATAAAATGATATGTCGGCTGAGGGTATACCGAGTGATGTTGTGGCTGCTCGTTTGTGCACTGTTTAACAATATACCTATCCATTGATCTCCGAAAATGACGAGATCCATGGACGGCTCTGTAGCGGATATGAAGTTGCCGTAGTGTATACCTTGCTTTCGATCCGACTGGGTATATACCTAGGTTACCAGGATATAGATGGGTTCCCTCTGGTGAGTAATCCAGGCGTATCAGTCCGATCGCACGCTCCCCGTGTGGTCAGGTCCTTCGAATTTGGCATTAGATCAAGCCATGGAGAGAGAGACGTAATGCCAAGGATTACTACCTCCACGTTGGAGGGCAAGGCGTCGGTGGTTCCCGTGTTGATATTGAGAGACACTACGCCGCAATAACGGTGATGCGAATAGCGTACACCTCGCGAATCGTCCTTGAGACAGTGGTTGGACGGTTAATATAATCCGGGTAGCGCTGGTATAATGTAGGACTATAGGTGCTGAACAGGTAATAGGTGTTTCCCAGTTTCGGCTTGTCGAAACGCTATATGTGTCATTCTCTTGGGTACCATCCCGGAACAGTGGGAGAAACAGGACAACTAAACATAATTGTAGTAGGTGGATGGATCTAGGAAGTATCTCAAAGTCAATAAAGGTAATTAGCTATCCGATATGCTATCTTCTAAGAGGTGCCTCACCTTGTATCCCGCTCTGGTTGTGCAGGCGAGGGTAAATTGATGAGATTGGTCAATGCTGCGAACGGTATTAATAAGGAGCAAAAGGTGAGGACGGAAGAGCACCTGTAAGAGTGGAAAACTAGGCTTCATGGGACAGATGGGTATCTCCTCTCGCACTCGCTCGAGGTGGTCATTATTGGGTTGTAGAGCGTTGTGCAGACAGCTCCGAGAGTTGATCATGAATTCTGAAATCGAGGAGGGGTGGCTGCTCTCGCAGGTTAGCCACGTCTCAGGGGTCATGGGTGGATGGAGTAGAAAAGACCGTTTTTCCTTTTTGTCTCGCTCTGTTAGTCATCCAAAAGACGTCCGGGAGATGGACTAGCCCTGTAGCAGGGTAACATAGCACAAGCCGGCGCTAGATAACATCACACCACATCAGAACAACTACGCAACTGGCACAAAATGGGCCAACGATTCAAACATATCAGGGACCGCCGCGCCGACCTACCCCACCATCATACGACATGGCCTTGATGCGCGATGCATGTCTTCGGGACCTGAGCCGCCCACGACGTCGAGCTGTGGTGTGTTACAGTGGGAAAAAACCGAAGAGAGGTATTCCTTCCAAAGCTAAGGCACAACAAGACGCTTACTCAGACAAATGAGTTCAAGCCGCCGGCTGGCGCTGCACCTTATGCTCCCGAACATCTGTCAAGGGGAGTTCCTTCGCTATGATCACGCCTTGTTTTATTCGGTATCGACCTCTACGGGCGTGGTATTCCTGTCGCCGCACTTCAAAGAGAAGACCGTGGAAACAAATATATGACTATCGACGATGGATCATTGTTACAAAACAGATGACAAGCCTATTGCCCAGCAATATTGTTCTAGAGCTGCTACTGGAGGTAAACTAAGTTTCCAAGCCTTACACTCAGGCTTTCGTGAGCTCAATAGTTGATTTGTGTAACATTACTGATGTTTCCTAGGTAGTGATAGATAGCAAGAAGTCATTCTTCGATAGGCCTGCAGTAGGAGGGCTGAATATCACAGTACATATTGCTGTTCCTTCTATTGTGTTCGCCTGTTCGCGGTAGAGGGGAACTGCATATAATCTGAACTGTTCTTGATATCTCGTTTTAAGTTGAGTAGCGAATAGCAGTCTCAATCTTTCGAGAATGGACAGTTTGTTTTCTTTTTCTTTTCCCCAACAGAGAAGACGCACAAAGCATGTCTAGCTTACCAACTGGTGACAATGATACCTATTCGGGGCTCTCCTTTTCTGCGGGTCTGTCTGGTCTACCGGGGGTATTATAATATTGCTTGGCCTATACAACACTACCGCTTCTTCCATGCAGTATCGACATCTCTAGGAGCAAGGGTGTCAATGGGCCAGCCCGGGCTAAAAAATAGGGTCGGCCTGGCCCGGCCCATGATACCACGGCCTGGCCCAAGCTAAATAGCCCGGGCTTCCACGAATAGCGGTGTTCGTCAGGAAGAACTAGGTGTTTGTCTATGCGAATTAGTTTATATCTGCTTGATTTATTGTGTTCGTGGGCTGGAAATAGATAAGCTCGAATATACTACAGTTTTCGCCTCCACTTGTGGTACAAAATGTATGTATGTCGGTGAACACTCCTTCGAACCGCTGATATTGTATGAACACCTTGAAGCCCGGGCCTGCCTATTTGGCCTGGGCCAAATAATGGCCTCTGCCCGGCCCGTCAAAGAATAGTCCGGGCCGCCCGTCTCAACCCATGGCCCATTGACGTCCCTGTCTAGGAGTGTGAGGCGAGGGAAGATAATCCCGCAGCAAGTCAGAAATCTGTCGTGGCAGGTGTTACCACGGTTTAAAAATCGTGGCGCCTTTGTCACTCTCCTCGGGTAAAATGGACAGTTCGCTGAATGCTATTGAAGACACGGTATTTCATGGGCTGTCACTCGCTGATTAACAGCTTGGCGGCCGCAGGGCCCTCAACTCGGCCGCAGGGCCCCCAACCCGGCCGCACCCCTATGAGCTACAGAGTGATATCTATCATGTCCTCCTTGTAAAATGTTGAGTGGGAGATATCGCTAGGACCCCCAAAGACCGCAGAGAGTATGGATATAGGCTCAGGTGGGGGGGTTGGTGTGAGGTCGATCCCGGTGTTGTGCGATGTGGTCTTGCGGGATTTGCCTGTTCGCGGGCGTTGAAAAGAAATGTAAGTATTAGGAACAAGGAAGGGATTTGATGAAGTAGATCACGAATCGCCGTATCTCCTATAATATAAAATGTCAGGACGAATAAAACTTCGATAATGCGGGTTGCTGATTGGTTTGGCTAGCTGGGTAGGAATGATGCTGAGTGGGAACAATGGTTAAGTCGGCTTGGTGAGCACATACTGGATTGTTCGTATGGGTTTGTGACTATGGCCGACAATTGTGAATAAAGGCACTTCTGAAAGACGTAGTGCTAGCTGCGAAATTACTATATTATAGAGGGAGGGTGGTTCCGGTCCTATCCTGAAGTACCTGGTCATACCTATATATCATACTTTTACCTGTAACCTCAAATACAGAGCTGTTGCTCGAATATTAGAATGGGGAAAAAAAAACCCGCTCGACATCAATAATTTACAAAGCAAAACAAAAAGTTCACAACACTGCCTAAGCCTCGGTTGCTACGTCTTTTCTACGTCCGGAGGGGGGGTTGAACGCTCACAAGTTCGGTGCAGGGTGTGAGCTCTATACCACTGGGCCACGTCCAACCCCATGTTCACTTTCTTTGCTTTGCTGCTTTTACCTCCATGGGGGCTCGTGCATTAAGAATAAAATCAATTGGATGAACGTCCATCCACACCATCTTTTCTGAGCGAGGAACATTTACTTGTGAGAACTTGAGTTCGCTGTGCGCAACCGGCAATGATTGGATTAACATTGTTTTTCTGATCGAATACTGCAGGCCAAAATGGAAGTAAAGAATTTGAAGTTGGAAGGAAAAGCATTGAAGGAATGGCTGTCGAGAGAAAAATATCAAGGATCGCCACATCTGTAGATGACGTCCTGGCACGGGCGCAATCTAACACGCGGCAAGTGTGTTCGGAGTTTTCCGTAGTTACCGCCTTGTTACGTAAAACATCACCACCCGCGTATTTTCCGTTCCGCTCAGTCCTCATGCCGCTAGACCGCCTTTGGCAAGGCATCCATGCCCTAGCCCTCAGCGGTCCCGCACCACACATGCCACGCACAGAACCCACCCTGCCTTGGAACGTCGCCTTGCCTCTTCCCTCTGTATCACATAGACCACCAACACCAACGTTTTTCATCTCCATGTGTTATCAAGATTCCTTACTCGTTTGCCCTTCTCCTCCCGTCTTCTCTTATGCTCACCTACCTCTTAGCTACCCTTCCCAATCCATCTTCTTCCTCTCCCCGTCGTCAGAGAATGTCATGACACCTCGCGCTATCCTCATCTACCGTTTGCTCAGAATAAACCAGAACGTGCCCCTGTTTCTGTCTGGTTCAAAGCGTTTTTCCTCTGAGAAGCGCTGAGGCTGGTACAGAATGGGAGGCAGGTTATCGGTTTTGATGAAGATGTGTGTGAGCTCGGTATTTATCTTAATTTTATATGGTGAGTTGCACTGTACATCCATCGATCACTTGAACAGTCTCTAACTTCAATTCATTTCTAGTGTTAGAGACGAAATGTCCCTCAAAAGCCGTCTTGTTTGCACTAGTCTTCTGTGTGGCTCGTGAATGAGCGTAAGCTCAGCAGAGGCGTGCTACTGACTTCTTATATCTCTCGAAGATTTCCCCTTCAGGCGAAATGGACGATGGGTGTAACAACACAGTTGGCAGGCTGTCCTGTGGCTTCCCTATATAGTCTGCGGAGCCTAGCAAGTCAAGGATGTAGCCTTGAATCTCACCTACTATTTATTTTCCCTTCCAGGCTCTAAAGGTTATGCACAGGGCCTTTCTATGCTCGGAGACCCTTAGAGGAGAACTGTAGTAGCGGGTTCTAGTTTCCGAGACCGAGATACTAGGGGAAGAGAGTGGGTGAGGCGTGCCCCTATCCTGTGTCGGGGACGAGCAACGAGAGATCTCATCTTCGTACCTTTTCGCCGACAACAATTTAATGGGTAGGTTTTCTGCCTATAACATTCTCACATTGATCATCGTGCAAAATGAATATTCTTTACCCTAAAAGCCCTAGAGACAGGAAATATTTGAGCTTCCCCCCACCAGGGCTTAGAAGCTATCCTGTGAGTCCGGTTGAAGTATGGAAATGGTTCTAGTGAACAACTGAGGACGTGCGCCCATCGCGTTCTCATACCTCGTGCATTGGTTATCCGCTATTTATTCTCAGGGGATTCAGTCATGAAGAAATAAATACATAACCAAATTTTCTTGATCTTCTTTGACTACACTCTTCGCTGTGAAATTTGCTTAGGGGTCAACTACCCTCACTTCCGGAGGTAGTTTACGTTCCTGTTCTCCAGTAGAAAGCCTTATTCACCTTATCTGTGCAACCCCCTCTATGAGGAACATCTTTCTTGACCCTTACTAGAAAATAGCTTTGGCGCGATAATACCACTTGTGGTTACTGAGAAGGGTATCCTTGAGAGATATCACACTATTCAAGGTATTCCTCGAAAAGGCCACTTCACCATGTCAACACGTATCAAGAACAAAGAAGACACCGGCGGGAAGCCCGCCCTCTGGCTTCTTCGGACAGCTATCCATTGGAAGAGGAAACGGTTTCACGCTTATAACCTTAAACTTACGGTTCAGAACACCAGCTCCCTAGGCTGGCTAGAGGGCGGGGTTTGGGGGGGCGGTGGTAAGGTTGGAGGATCAGAGCGGAAAGGTCTCCTGGGGTGCGCAGGTGGCCTGAGCCGTGCCCCTGTCTTGTTTCTGCTGGTGGAGTTACTTGGTACGTACCATGATGGCCAACCTGTAGATGTTCCGACACTTTGAACTATATACCGTCGGCGCCTACGGGTCATGGGGTTGGGGAGGGGCATATAGTAAGAGTTGGTTGCCTGTCTTAGACTCCAGAGAAATCCGAACCGTTTAATCATAGCTACCTGGGCCAGGGGATTCTCATCGGAATGATAGGGCCACTAGCTAGATAGCGACAAGACGTGGGAAATGTTATGTTTTCTTTCTTTTCTTTTCTTTTCTTTTTTTCGCTATTGATGTAGGCAATTCCAATTTTCTTTTTATCAGAGAAAGAAAAGGTTAATCAGGAAGACATTTTGGTGTTTTGTCTTCAGTCTTCAAAGTGGGCTCTTGATCTAAGATATCTCTAACTAGCGCTACCTGCATTCCGTGACAACATATGGAGTAAGGGACGCCTTTGGTATCTGTTTCTTTTTATAGTCCATCTATCCATGAACCACTCAAGCCACTCATGTCCCCATTAGATCTTAATACAAGGACTATAGCCTATCCCTTTCAATCGTGGACAACCTCACGTGGGGCAGGGGGTGTGCGCGTGTTTGATAACCACAGTCCACATATGAGATAAACAAAATGACATCCTGGAAGGTTGCCTAAGTCGGAACCATATACATCCCTTGACGAAACTAGATCTCTGCGCTTTCTTAATTAGGATTGCCGCACTGCCTCTGACAAAATTTGAACACGTTATTTTTGCTGACCAACATGGAGTGGGCGGTGATCTAGCCTCAAGGTGAAACGTAAGCCGCAACTAAGATTTCCGCACACAAGTAGAAGGTTCTGTAGCACTACATGCACAGCTTGTGATAATGCGGGGGCTCGTGTATCGCGGTTTCGTGCTGCCCTTTCTCCTTGTGTTTTGTCGGTCGCGGTGTTGGTAATATGAATACATGAAAGTCCAATTCACCATAGGCCCCGGTGATTCCAAGCTTCCCCGAGCTGAACGCATTAGGCAACCAACTGTCTGTGTCTCCGGTGCCTAGGTGGCCTTTGTAGGAGATTAGTTAGAATTATGAAGAGAGAACGTATGTAGGCCATCGCCGACAGAGGTTGCAAGATCTCTATTCCCCGCATTGCCTTGAATACCCCCAACGCCCGGACTCTTCTCAGCATAACGGCCGCTTATGGGAGTGGTTGAAAAGCACATCATGTCAAAAGACGCATAAATGCTCTAATGAGTTCATTAGGGAGTTAGATTAAGTTTGCATCGTGTAAACTTCAAAGTGTCTGATATCAGGTTTTCGTCCCCAGCGGCAGTTACCGAATTGCGTTAGTAGGATGCTCAGGATAAGGCCCAAGACCCCCTTCGCACAAAACACAGTCATACCGCACGTGACAAGCACACAGAAAACACGCAAAACCCCTCTTCTGTTCGTTGCGTTCCATTCTCTTTTTCGACACCAAATCCTCCTATAAATACCCACCCAAAAATTGGATTCCAACCTTTTTCAAGACTTCGACACCAGAAACGTACCCCTCTCTTGTTACTCCCCAAAATGTACTAGTGATGCATTCAAGGGCTCGCCTAGAGAGTAACATGACGGGGTGGGTGTTGGATATCCTTTCTTGTAAGAACTCTTAGTTTGTTGCGTGTCCGTTTGTCGTCGGTTATAATGTTCTAATTAAGGCCCTGCTTGGGAATTTCGCTGACCTCTTTCCTGTCTTAATAGGTTTCCCTTCTTTTTCGTAATTGATAAGGGCTATTTAGAATACTAGGCCCCCTGGAAACGTGCACCTGACTTGTTGGAGCAATTGGAATAGTTGGAACACTTCGACCTTTTCACTTTCACTCCAACAAGTGGGGATGCAGGTTGTCATAGAGGGGTAGCGGATGAATCAATCCTGGCATTGGATACAATTGCTTAACCGCAGTTTAGTGACGCTGTGGCTTAATTGTTCTCGTTGGAAGGGGCACCTCTCTCGTCGGCTGTCTAGCCCGCTGGTCGTTCCTAGAGGTGACTATGATCTGGATAGGCGACAAGAGGGACTGTAGGTTGCCATTGTGGCATAGTGGGTGAAATACGTCATGTATTGAATACAATTGTTTAATTGCGGTTTAGTGGGGCTGTGGATTAATCTTTCTTGGTGGAACGTGTACCTCTCTTGTTGTCGAGTCCTCTGGTTGTTCCTAGTGGCGACTATTGCATGGATAGGCAACAAGGGGGACTGTGGGTTGCCATTGTAGGGTAGAGGGTGAATTACTTCGGGCATGGGCTAGAGTTGTTTCATTGCGGTTTAGCTGAGGTTTTCTAGGTGGAACGTGAACCTCTTTTTGTCGGTGCGCCCTCTGCTCATTTCTGGTGGTGACTATACTGGGATCGTCAACAGAAAGGACTGTAGGTTGCAATTCAAACAGTACACGGAGGCGAGTTCTGCATCGACAGAGTTTGGTAGGCTAATGATCTTTGTCTAGGTATATTTCCCATCAAACCGGTCTTTCAACTATAATATCCCTTGCATTCGGGTCTCAGGGTCGGCCACCTGGCCTACCACGATAGTCCAAACTAGAGCAGAAACGTGCTTCTAACTCGTCGCGGCTAGCGACACTTCTTTTCTACTATGTTAGCCACCGTTACAAGTTGGGGGTAGGTTCGCCTGCATTTGGCCGAGGACGTGCCCTCATCATGTTGCCTATGCCGGTCCAGGGAGCGCGGATCGCACCATGAGCACTCTCTATGCGTGGTAACACGATGGGGGCATGTTGCTCCCGAACAACGCGGTGATCACACCCAACTACATGATGAGCAGCACGGCTGAGTGCCCACAAATCATGTTCTGTCCATATTCGTGTTTCAATGTTTTAGCTTCTTTCCATAACCAGAGATATAAAAATATCTCGAAACAACTTTAAGCCGCAGTCATGAGATATCACTTGACACTGCATAGTTCGAGAACAAATGGAATTTATTCTACTCTACTAAGACTGAAGTTCCAAGTTATCGGAGATTTTCCAAAACATTAATATTAGCAGCAAAGGCGTTTTCTTACTACCATAGCACTAATTTCGAAAAAGACTTTCCTAAATCCGGGTCAATAAACACTCCCGTTCAAGCTTGTCTTTCACACCTCCTTGTCGTTTTCAACCCAAAGAGTAGCGCAATTCCGTGGCCTGGTATATGATACCCCATCCATGTACTTTACCTCGATCGTGACAGAATTTTTCAAAAATATTCCTTTTCGAGGATTGAAGAAGCGAGTGATAATTGATGGTCCGGTGTCCCAGATTTTGTTTTTTTGTTTAATTCATTGAATCCGGTGTCCCAGACGTCAAAGGCGATTTCGCCATTTCCGTAATCGACCTGATACTCAATTCAATACATAGTTAGCTTGAATGAGTAGTACCTTTCATTATCCTCTTATTCCGATAACCTTGCTCTAATCTCCCATTATATTGAAAATGTTATCATCTTCTAAACCATATTAATGAAATAAAACTTTACACCCTACACCACTTCTGATCCGAAGGGGATAAGCTCAAGTATAATCCGCTTTTCTATGAAGTTCCTATATTCTCCCAAGTCGCTATTATCTTTCAAAACCTCTCTTTCCCGAATATTGAGGGTCGAGTGATAGTCTGTGATTCCCTCTTTATTACCGTAAACCTTAATGTTGCGGGTAGGATAGCCGAGCACAATGTGAATTGTGGTGGGTGAGGATATATATGGACGTCGCAAGCAACAAAATCAGGTGACCGGATGTTTCATGGAGGATATGTAGTTCATATCATACTTTCAAGTAGGGCACAAGTTAGTGAAGGGTATCTTTACAGCCTAAATCCTCAATACGGAGGGTTAAGCTATTAAGAAAAGTTCGCACTTCTAGTGGATATACGGAGATCTTGGCGAAGCACTTGCAAGTGCCCAACAACTAAGGAAGCATAAACATAAACCCAGAGACATGCCCAGCTGCAGAAGCTCAGATAGCAGATATCACGAATCATCCGGACAACTAAAGGGCGCTCTAAACAAAACAAATCCTCCAGTTTCCATCGTAACTCATTGCTTTACGGTTCACGGCAACGCATTCGTGCATATAGACCTCTTCTGCATCATGCCGTTTCCAAGTACTAGTCGCGGCATTCAGACCTCCGGCTTCCAGAGACCTCCAGCTAATCATTGTGTAACAATATTACTCGCGACGACCCAGGAATATCTGAAAGTTACCGCACGACTATGCTCGCTTCCCAGCTCACATATCCACTTACATCGTGATACTCCTCCTTAGGTACCATGCGATCGTGGGCCTATATCTTACCAGGTGGCCAGCGGCAGTGTTTATTTATTATCTCCAGAACACCCGCCCGCCTTAGAAACTCATGTTTACCGCGCTCTCGGGACCCCTGTGATGTTCCAACTCACTCCCACTCATACCCCCCCCAATCACTCGCAGCAAATATTAGGAGGTCTCGTCCTCGGAGGTGATCTGTCTTCCCCATAGTCCATACTCTGAGTCAGCTCGGATCTAGCGACATGTCGCATCTAGGACTACCAGCTAGCTATTTATATCCGCCACCATTATCAAAAATAGATATCTGGCCTGAGTGTAGTGCTATAAACACCTAAGGCTGGCGTCCAGATGACACCACTTGTCCTCCGGCAACGTACACTCAGGAAGATAACGTAGAAGGTGGTACACCTACCCTTCCGTGGAGGGCAACGAAACCACCGGAATAGCCCTGTTCACCGGTTCACGGTAAAGCAGTGCTCGGTGGTATGAAGAGGACAGATATAGCTGCTCGTGTGGACTGGCTTCATCTTGAGTGGCATTGGCGACATGTGCCGGGTACACTGTGGCCTGGGGCCTGCTGGTGTCGGTAAAAACCAATGTCCAGCTGTGTGACCCACCCGGGGGAAAAGCATTCAGCGATATCGGGTAACGATGGATGCAAGAGAGGAGAGGGAGTCAGATCCGGAGGTGCTAGATTTGGCCATCTCTGTTTATAAGTCTTACTCTGCTCCGTAGGTGGAGCATTGTAGTGAAGCGAAAGGTAGTGCGCTCTTCGGTGGAATGGGACG